GTTTAGCATCACAGGCCTAAGGAGTAGTCAAGAGAGACGTAAAATCGGCGCATCATGCGTTCGTTGGGCGTCTAAGTAGGAATCTATGAATGTATGATGCGGTCCTTGGGACTCCAAGAGTTAACAAGGCGGCAAACCTGTTGGATGGCATCCTCAGCATGACCCTTCCATGATTTGCAATTTTTAAGTCCATTTTTTTTTTGAGTTTGAATAATTCCTCATGAGCTGGGTCCGAGAGGTAGTGCATCGATTTACATCAGGTATCCCTAGTGCATCCAACAATAATATGTACTGCTCGTTTTCAATATTTTCCTATCTGTTTTTCTTATCTAAAGGTAAAGGAAAAGGTGAGAGGATTGACTTAATTGCACTGGGTTTTATCCCATATGGCTCAGTCTCTCTCCACAGAACAGCTAGCTGCCTGCCAAGTGCACGGGACACAGCAAGACCTCCACAGCTCTGGTGACGATCCCCCATGGGATCTCTGTAAAAATAGTACTCGTGAACTAAACAGCGCCGAAATGAACACGAGCACAAGGTAAATGGCTTGACCACTTCTCCACGGAGAAGATTTTTACCCCACTATGTGCATAAAACGACCCATAAATTGTAAACTCACAAAATTTGTAAAAACATATTTTAGACATGGAAAAATGCTGTGATTTCTTTCAAGGCATCTTCATCATTATTTTCTGTCTACTGTGTTTCATCATTCAGCAGCAAAAAAAAACCCACATCTCTGAAGCTTCCACATATTTTTTCACTGACATGTTGTATGTCCGTGTCATAAAAAATAAACAACATAAACAAATATACTAACTCGTGTCAAACAAAACAACGTGTATATTTTTTGGCTCCTGGCCGGTCTTCCCCCTGCTTATTGAAAATCCTCCAGATCCTTCAGAAATGCGAACAGGTTGACAGCCAGAAATGTAACAATTATATAAAATTATGTGGCTAAGGGGTTTGAAGCCAGCCAGCTCTGCATTGATTTTGATGGCATGAGCAGTGAACGTTTCAGAAAGCAAAGGCAAACTACTTAACACTGCCTTGTAAAACCAAACAACAGATAAATGTTGGCATTGTTTTTATGATATCCTGAACGGGACATGCAACTGACATTTTTTTTTTAAATCATTTAAAATTCTGCATCAGCGACTTTAACAAAGAAAAATGTACAGGAATAAAGCAAAGATACAGACCTGATGATCTCCAATGCCAGAATTTCCCAGATCCCCATCAGCTTCATTGTGTGCCTCTTCATGTGCTTCTGGCATAGCAAAGTTGGTTCCACTGTCATTTGTCTGGTCACAATCATGGATGCCAACAAGGAGACTATAGTCCATCAGGTGAAGACTGCTCAAAAACTGAAACCAAGGTGATGATTTTGTGTTGATTGTTAAAGATCATCCTCACTTTCTGTCAGGCACACCATAAGTTTTCTGATCTTCTTGAGTCTTCTGAGTCCCAGAGGGTTTAGCATCACAGACCCAAGAGGTAGTCAAGAGAGATGTAAAATCAGCGCATCATGCGTTCACTGGGCTTCTAGGCAGTAACCTATGAACGTATGATGCGTTCTTTGGGACTCAAAGAGTTAAGATTCTTTCTTAGTATATTGACACTCATGATGCTGGTGACCCATGTTCTGCATTGGCTGATATGGTGCCTGCGAGCTCTTGCATGGTTTTCACATTGAAAAGGAGATTCTCAGCGTGTGTCGTTTCTCATATCTTCTGTGTCTTCTTTGTTCACTGGCTGTAATATCCAGTGGAAAGTCCTGGGTTGTTCGTCCATGTGGACTATGGCTCTGTGCCAGGGCTTGAGCTTTGCTTTTACATCTGTTTTACTGGCTTATTGTGTGCAGTTGGTTGTTCCTTGCCATTAGGGCAGATGCACTCTGACCTTGGAGGAAGCTCTCAGTCAACTCTTACAACATGTTTTGTGGGAAGGCAGTAGGTCTAATCTTGTTTTCCCCACAATAGGGCCCCAGAACCCACACAGGATGTCTCTCTTGTAACATTGATTATGTCATCTGAAGATCCATTTTCTAGTGTAGCGCTGCCTGCAAGTGTATTCACCCTCTCATAGCCTTTCATATCAGTATGTCTTGGGACCAAACTGAAAGTGATGGTATGAAGACGTGCTCTTTGTAATGATTTATACCATTCTTTTTTGTTTTGCATGTATCTAGCTTTGATCTTTTTAATCATGTTTATAGATATGATTATTTAACATGGCAAACATAGTTTAATACTAGAAAAAGTCACAAGCTGATGGCCAGCTGGACATACAACTTCTAAAAATGAGGTGGGCAGCAGAGCCTCCCAGTCACGTTGTCTCCAAGAGTTTAATAAAGTAATAAATCTGACAGTGCACAAAGTTAGTGCACCTGCTGCAATTATCAGTTTTGTACCAAACTTAGTGCCAAGTTTTGTTGTTCTGCATTCACATTTAAAAATGTGGCTGGTACACTTGTGCTGTGGTTAACAGCTAGGCTGCAATATGTGCCCCTTTCAGTCCAACAACTCCAATTTTAGAAAATTCTTGAGCAGTCACCTTTTATGACATGCTTGTCAATGGGCAGCGGGTCTAACCCCCCACCCCCCCCCCCCCCCCCCCCCCCCCCCCCCCCCCCCCCCCCCCCCCCCCCCCCCCCCCCCCCCCCCCCCCCCCCCCCCCCAATCCAGCTTTTAAAGAAAATTGTTTTAAGTAACTCTAGCTGTTAAAGATATTCTCCCCATTTGTTTCAGAAACCAGATCTTCAATGCACTTAATATGTCACTCCAGGAGGCGGTAAACCTTACATTTCCATCACTGAAATATTCCTGTAAAAGCTGCACCACTCATAAAGTGGCTTGTAGGCCCAATGTCACTACTGATGAAGTGGCTTGTACGCCCAATGTCACCATTGATAAAGTGGCTTGTACACCCAATGTCACCACTGATAAAGTGGCTTGTTCACCCAATGTCACCACTGATAAAGTGGCTTGTTCACCCAATGTCACCACTGATAAAGTGGCTTGTACACCCAATGTCACCATTGATAAAGTGGCTTGTACACCCAATGTCACCATTGATAAAGAGGCTTGTACACACAATGTCACCACTGATATAGTGGCTTGTACACCCAATGTCACCACTGATAAAGTGGCTTGTACACCCAATGTCACCACTGATAAAGTGGCTTGTACACCAAATGTCACCACTGATAAAGTGGCTTGTACACCCAATGTCACCACTGATAAAGTGGCTTGTACACCCAATGTCACCACTGATAAAGTGGCTTGTACACCCAATGTCCCCACTGATAAAGTGGCTTGTACACCCAATGTCACCCCTGATAAAGTGGCTTGTACACCCAATGTCACCACTGATGAAGTGGCTTTACCTTCATCTTCTTTTTTTCTGCTCCTGAAATGCCTCACAGCATCGAGACAGAAAGTGGCTAGTAAGTACCAGTGATATCAGCAGCAATGTCAACAGGCATATACTGGGTAACAATTTGAGACAGAAAAGCTTGTGTTGTTAAGTTTATTCTATTAATCCTCTCTGTTTACTGATTACCCCTTTTACATATCTTTATATATTTTCAAACACAAATTTTAAAAATTCAGATAAATACATAAAAAATTTTGTTTCAGTAACCAGTGTAAATTTTGTGGTTTTGTTGTTGTTGTTTTGTTAAGAATTTATGTTATTGCTGAAATTCCGATGGGATCATGACCTATTTTTTTTGGGGGGGGGGGGGGGGGGGGGGGAAGGGGGGGGGGGGGTGTGCATTTGTGGGCTAAAAGGGTTAGAAGGTTATAAATAACTCTTCAACAACAGCTGCTCTCCATAGCAGACAAAGAATGTCAATTGTAAGATACTCACATCAACATCACTCTGGAGAATATCCAGTAACTTCTTTCTCTGCTCATGTCCAATGCTGATTTTAGCACCATCATTTAGGAAATCATTATCTTTAAATGTTGGCAACTCTTTCAACTGGGAACAAATGGACAAAGGCAATAAATGTAGGATAGATAACAGAAGCAATTATAACACAAATTAACGACGAACAATATACAGATGTAATTTAAAACATTCATTACCCGGATTGAAACTAAATGTATCAGGTGTTCAAGTCACTCTGTTTATTGTATGGACTATGAACACGGACAACGAGGACAATAAACGGATAATGTGAGGGCAAAGTTGAAGGTTTTATAATGTAGTTATAAACAAGAATAGTATTCACAGTCAGTTTTACAACTGGAGTTATCTAACATGCTCCCTGTGTGGGTTCTAGGGCCCCATGGTGGGGAAAACAAGAACAGACCAACTGCCTCTCCAACAGCATGTCATAAGAGTTGATTAACTGGAGGCTTCCTTCCAAGTTGGAGTGCATCTGCCCGAGAGGCGAGGAACCAGCAGTCTGCACACAAATAAGTCAGATCTGTAAAAGGGATGTGCAAACAACACTCAGGTTTCTGAACAAGAACAGTTGGATATCTTAAAGAGTAGCCTAACAGTGCTGCCTGGGCAAAATTTGGAGTTTAAAATCTACTTAAAGTATTTTCAGGATCCTCGCCCGAGCTATGGAGTATGTGCACAGTGCTGAGATTCTTCAGACTCAGGCTTGAGTTAGAAGTAGAAAAGGGCACTTATGAGTTACTACTCTTGTACCATGATGTTAAACCATTGAGACGAAAAAGAAGATTTAAAAAAAAACAATATATACTTCTCCCTCATATTCTATCTAGGACTCAGACAGCTAGTTTGCAAGTCTTCTGTTCTTCTAGAGGCAAATACAATTTTATTAAGGTCAGCATACACAGCCAGAGATTGTTGATATCACCCTGATGGTAAACATACCAGTTTTACATTAACAGCAATGAAAGGAAAATGACTTGGGAAAAAAAAAGACCTGCAAAAGCACATAGATGTTTAAGAATCTGGGTGATTTTCAGCGATACCTGACCAGCAACAACAGATTAGGAACATCATGTAATACTTACTCTTTCCTTCTCACTGGCACTTCTGTCTACAGTTGAACCCTGCAAGAAACAATGCATTCTTGTATTCTGTGAGGCAGATTATATAACAATTCTTATTATAGGCTCAACTTATGTGCATGAAATTACTGAAATTACCCAAAGATGCTGTAACCCGTATGCTCTACACAGAGGGGTAGGCATCACTTCAAAAGTCACTTGTAATTAACATCATCTGGGTCATTTCTCTGGGAAATGCAGGTGTATTGGGAAATTAACATACAAATAGATTCGATGGTGCTGCATTACCAGGTGCATGACAAGCTAGATGTTGAGGTCCCTTGAGAGCAAGTGAATAGTGTGAAAGTGCGAACAGATCATTATGGTCTGTAAATCACGGTGCGGTGGGAAATGATCAGGGGCTCTGACTGGCACTCAACGCTCAGAGGAAAGGCAAGAAGGACAGTCAGACTTCCACTGGTACAATCGGAAGTGGAACTCTTTGCTGGCAGCTGAAATGAGGGTGGAGTGTTTATGAGAATGTCTCTAGTGGCCTGATGTTGGTTCTTAACACGACTCGACCCAACTTAGCTATCTAAGCAAAGAACTGCTACTAGCGTGAATTAATAAATGAAAATAAATTATTAATAACAGCAATAACATACAGCAAAATCCTTATTTATGAAACCTCGCCCCAATATGGGACGCAGATGCTTGTTATTTCAGATTTCCAACCCGGCTGTAGTTGGGGACCTTAATATAAACTAACGGTTGAATGGGGTTTTGGGGCCGTGTACCCTGATGATTCTTTTTCGAATAGTGGAATTTGTGTCATCGGATGTGGTTCTGGTGGGGTTGAACGTCACTTAAAATCGTAATTACAAAAGTAATTATATTTTTTCTGTGCAAAAGATGACATTTTTTAAACCTAAATTTGGGGAGCCATCTTACACAAGAAATGTGTTTAAAATATTATTTCACAATTTTGGGCTTAAAAAATTAGTGGTGATCTTAATCATGGGCGCGTCTTATATATGGAAACACATGGTACTTCTTCTTTTCTTCAATATTTGCCCTTAAAAGGGTGGCTGGCATGCTGTGTTGTGGTTTATAACCAGGTTGTAATTTCTGTGCCTCCTGTGGTATAACAGTCCGATTTAACTAAGCCTAAAAAATGGCCCCTTTATAAGATGCTGCTTGTTAGGGGGTAGTGGGTTTAGGTAATTTCCCTACAAGTGAATGCAATTACTAATACATGATCAAATATTTTAAAGCAATGACGAACCTTGAGGTCATATTTTTTGTGTATTGTGAGGCGAGGGCTGAAAACATTGCGCATAACTACCAGATAGGTCTCTGCATCATTGACCGTGATCCTGTACATGGCCAGGTACTGGGGCAGTAAAGTCTGTGCATGGCACTCCACAATGTACTGAAACATCAAACAATACACATTTACACTTCTGACAAGGAGAACACCTGAGGGTCTTACAGAAGATTTAGTTTAACATTCACTATCTATCTACAGTAAAACGTTGATATTTGACCCCCGCCCTTCTAGAACAATTCAGTTTCTGAACACAAATTTCAGGGCAAAATTTACTAAGTTTCTGTAGGTAAGGTGAAGATGTCTACAAGCAAAAACTGATAATAATGAATAAATATCTTGAGAGAATTCATAAAATTAGCTCTGGTCTGAATGGCTCTCCACAATGAGCAGCCCGCAACTTTTGATGTTCAACATGTCCTACAGGGGAGTGTTTTTGTCACCAATGGTCTTGCTGCATGCATTTATCATCAACTTCCACGCATTATATCTGTATATTTCTTCTTCTTCTTAACATTCACTGGCGATAGACTGTGGCGGAAAGTTCTGGTTGTTCGTCCAATTCTGGACTTTTATCACAATCCAGAACCTGGTTTACGCACACATCTGTTTTACAGACCAGAAATACTTATGTAGACTGTTGGTTCCTTAAAATCTTGGGCACTCTGACTTCATGGAAAATTAGTTCCTTGATGTGGGACAGTGGGTCTGATCTTCTGCCCCTGAAATAAGGCACTAGAACCCACACAAGAATCTGTCTACATCACTAACAGGCGTATATATCTGTTCTAGTCCATTTTCCTACAATCTCATGAACAAAATGATGCTTTTGGTCTCTTAGTTCATGCAAAATTGCAATCAATCTTGTTTTACTGTGCATACATTTTCCACCCAATGTTTTCCAGTGCATTTTTTGCTGACAAAAAGGGTAATCATGTGATATATATATATGTATGTATGTGTGTGTGTTTGTGTGTGCGTGCATGAGCGAGCGAGTGTGTATGTGTGTGTGCGCGCGCGCAAGCATGTATGTTTGAATTTGAATGAGTATGTCTCAAATTTGTTTTAAACACCACTGAAGAGAAATATTTTCTCTTTCAAACATCATTAACAACAGCACAGCTAATAATATTTATGTAGTACATTTAACAAATACTTAAAACTGACAAAGACAATAAACATAACATGAACCTGGTGGTACTGTTTGAGCAGGTGATGCATCATTTCTACTTCCTCTGAGACTAGGGTCTTGATGAACAATTTCTTATCCCATGACATGAGCAGTCGAGCACCGCTCCGGCCTGGATAGTCGCATGAGGTTGGCTGCTGTTTTGTCAATGAATGCTGTCAGGAAACATTGATCAATGAGTCTCAACGAGATCCTTAGTCAGTATAAAAACAACAGATGAAGGTATTCAATTCCCTTGCAGTGGTTGTCGTCATGGCAGAGTCGTCAAGCCGTCTGCCCTGAGCTCTAAAGGTCATGGGTCCATTTCACAGACAAGTAATTCAGTTAACAGGTTCATCTTTTATTAGGATCTCTGGGGATCATCACTGGAGCTACAGAGTTTGTTAAAGGTTAAAGTCGAGATGATTTACTTCCCTGCAGCGGTTTGTGGGATCAAACCTGGTGCAATAAAGTCAATCCTTTCGACTAGACTTTAACTTTGGATTCGAATTGACCTACATTCTCCTTGCAGAAACTGTCACAAGGATGTGAAGTGGTGAGCCTTCAGCTTCTTAGTATAATAATGATGAAGGATGCCTACTACCCTTGCTAAATGGCTCATCTTCCAAGATAGATCTTCCTTCTCCTTTTCTTCTTCTACATTTCCCTTTAACTCTTTCAGTACCAAAGAACAGTTAAAATAACTATAGCATAATGCATTTATAGGCACCAAAAGAGTTAAAAGGCAGATGGCATGCTGTGCTGTGATTTACAGCTAGGCTGCAAAATATGCGCTTTTTAACCCAACACATCTGATTTTTACCATATTTCCTCAGTAGGCATCATTTACAACATGCTTTTTCCCCCCACCAAAATCAGGCTCTGGAACCAACTAAGGGAATGATAGTTCTGAAAATCATCTGGTGTCCATTTTATGAGACATGGGTTGATTGCAGAGCTATACTGGTTGAAAATCAAATCTCAACATAAGACTTGGGGTTAAAGTCTGTCTGGACCACTCATTTAGTTCAGCTCCTGAGCTTGTATGTTGTAAATGTCAAAATCATATGCTTTTATATATATACAGGGCTGAAGGCAGCAATGTACTAATATCAAATTGAGCAAAGCAGCTAAATATGATGGTATAGATCTAGAAATAAAGCTCATGGAAACTGCAAGCAGACGGGTATTCGTAAGTATTTCATGAATTGTCTGGTACAGTGCTAATTTCAAAGGGACCTGGCAGTAAACAAAGTACACTCAGAGAAAAAAAAATTACGCCTACAAGAAACAAACTCAGACATTATTATAAAAGGGTTAGCCAACTGTAAGTTCAGACTACAATCAGCTGGCCTTTTAAAACAATAAATGAGTTTGTTCTTCATCATACCTGCCCCCTAGAGTCTTTGCTATCTCATCAAGCTTGCAACTTTTAATAATAGGACAGGCAAAAGCTGCATTTTATAAATGAAGAACATCTTGTGCAATATATCTTTGTCATTGAGAGTAAGAAAAATAATTCTTGCTTGCTACATACATCGAGTTTTAACATATTGCTGTGAATCCTGGACAATCGGTAGACAGGCCAAACAATTTCTTAAGGCCTCAGAGATGTGGTTTTTCAGAAGAATACTTAGAATACCTTGGACAGCCAAAAAGAGCAACCAAGAGGTTTTGAAAGAGGCAGGAGCCTGAAGACAACTTATCACAGACATCAGAAGGAGACAGTCATCATTTTTCGGCCATGTTATGAGAAGAGAAAAAACAGAACATTTTGTGACCACTGGAAAGATCTGTGGAAGGAGGAATAGAGGAAGACAATGAGAGAAGATTCTTGACAGTCTTGTTGCATGGCATGGAGATGTGTCGGCACACAGGAGATCGCAGACTGCGGAGAGGCATGATAGCCCACAGCACTCTGCAGGGCACCGGATGATGATGATGATATATATATATATATAAAATCAGTGCAAACTCAAGCATTCAATGACATGATGATTACTTTTTGCCCCATTGGGACATCACACTGAGTGATAAACACCCTGTGACACAAAGTGTCACCATTCGGATGAGGATCACCTGTAAAGAGGTCTCAAATACTGTGTTCAACGGTTAGGTTATATTAGAGCCCCTGGCAACAACTAGGGTGGGGCTTCAAAATAACGACAAATTCATCCCACATGAGGACGGATCATGTCTAGGATTGCCCAGACAACATCAGTCCTTACCAAGCAGCAAACATGAAGATCCAAAAACATTTTATGCAAAACTAAGATTTGATTGCTCAGAGCACTAGTTGTACATTTACATATGGCTGTGAAACATGGACCTTAAAAACCGAACTTGAAAGAAAGATACAAGCTTTAGAAATGCGATGTTTCAGAAAAAATTTTGGCACATCCCAAAGAGACCACATTACAAACGAAGATGTTTGCCATAAAATTATACAGCACATTGGCATCTATGAACCTCTTTTAACAACAGTGAAAAGGCGAAAAATGCAATGGTATGGACATGTAATAATATCTTAGAGCCTCTCAAAAACAATACTGCAGGGCTCAGTAGAGGGCATGGAAGGGGAGAGAAGAGGCAGACCAAGAAAGACCTGGTTACAGAACGTGACTGACTGGGCATGCAATCATAAAGTCCATCGCAACTGACCGCCAAAGATGGAGAGAGGGGATGAGACAGTCAACAGAAACTGGTGACCCAATGACATGTAGTGTTACGGAATGATGATGATGATGACGATGAGGACGGGGATTGATTAAACGACTGACTTTCTATCCCCACCAGGGCATCACACAAGCGATTAACACCCGATGACACAATGTGCCAACATGTGGGTGAGGATCACCGTAGAGAGGTCCCAGAAACCGCATTCAGCCTTTAGGCCATATTTATGGCCAGGCTATATTGCGGCCCATGGCAAAGCCAGAGTACGGCTTCAAATAATGAAAAATTTCACCCTAAGAAGGATGAGAAGTGATAGATTGATTAAGCAATTCAATGACACAGGTTCTCTAGTAGTTATTGTGAGGATGAATACTCTCAAACTCTTACCTTGAAGTCTGTGTCATCAAGGCCAAATCTTTCTCTTAAATTCCGAAACACAACAGGGCAGTATTCTTTCACTTTGAACCTGCTGGGCATGTTATCTCTGTAGATGATTATCATGACTGATTCAAATCCCTTACCTCATCTATTATGTTTTAGACAAACCTAAATTTTTTACCATTTATCTCCCCTTGCACATACTCTGGAAAATCAAATCACAATCAACACCAGATTTTGGTCTTTTGAAGATCAAAATTGACCAATCAATGTCTGTTAGCTTTCTTCCACTGTTCAGCCTCAAGTCTCCTTTTCTTTATCTATACTGCTGTTAAGCAGGAAGAGGCCAAAAACTTGATTTTGCATTTTAAGAACAGACATGTTGCCTCAATGACACTGTACCACTGTTTGTTCAGTGCACTCATGATGTTGTCTATCTCTATTTTGCTGGTGTGGTGGTCCTCTGCCTCTGCATCCAGTGCTCTATTTGGTAGTTGATCAGGTTTCACTCCCATAAGTTCGTTACATTACACAAATTGCTGTCTACTAATGCATTTGATGCATACCATTCATTCTACCTGATATATTTCTGATAAGAATATTTCACAATCTATTTCTTCTGTCTGAAAACCAAAGCATTCTTTTTTCCCCAGCATTTATTCTTTTTATGAAATTTATGTTAATAGTGAACGGTTGTGGAAGAAAAATAGACTGGTTATCATTTGTTGTTTGACTTCATTTATAGAGTCGACGACAGCTTTTTGAGTTGCTATATCTGCCTTTTGCTTTCTGGTTTCCATCTATTTGCCATGTCTGTGTGTTTTGTATGAAAATGTTAAATAGATGGTTTAACTCTGAGAGTTTACATGAACATTGTTTTTTTGTCACCAATGTGTTATCAGGTACCATAAGGGAGGCAGAGAAGAGCAGTATTATAGTCTACTAAGCCAGGGGTAACCAACACAAAGAAAACATTGAAACAAAGAGGGGGAGGGGGGGGGAGGTAACGGTGGTAATGGAGTGCTCACGACTCAACCTCACCTGTTTTCAAATTTTCTGAGCCTTAGTTTAATTTAAAAGCACAATAATAACAAAAACAACAACAAACACAACAACAATAATATTAATAATATACTGTGGTGAAGGTAAAAAATATAATAATATATTGACAATAATTTGAAATGTATAACCAGATACTGGGAGCCGCCGTGGTCTAGGCGCTAGATGCTCGCATGTGGATTAGAAGGTCGTGGGTTGGGGTGCTGGCTGGGGTCAGACTTTTTTTTTTCAAAACTGACCTTGGCTTTCAGGTCAACCCAGCCTTGAGTGGGTACCAAGTACAGTCCTGGGAAGTAAAGGTGGCCTGCGTAGTACTGACCACATCACCCACCAAGTGCTGTTTGGTCATTATAAAATATAGGTCTAGCCCTATATACCCAATATGACTGATAACGCGGAGGTGGGTCGTTTACTTCACTTTTCATAACCAGATATTTAATAAGAGAACGTCTATACACTTCTGGAAAGGGGGGGGGGGCTTACTTCTCTTATGAATTTCCTAAAAAGGGTGAAACCCACACCTCTCCTGCTTGCAAATTTTTCTAGGAGGACTTTAGGGGCGAAAGCCAGGTCCTATCATCTATGTACTGAGCAAGCTGCAAAAGGTGACTTAAAAGACTTGAGATGAGACTAGCTACGCGGAGCTGAGGGTCCCCCGAGGGTCACACTTGTGTTGTCATAAGGGCCACTCACAACAACTACTTCAAATAATTTAAAACAAATTATTAGCTTTTGTTAATCTTTGTGCGGGCCAAAAGTGTCGTTCCAAAAGGGCCTCATGCAGTTCGCGGGCCCTGCACTTTACATGCCTGGGCTACGTCATCCCGCAGAAAACTTCATCTAAAAAATCTAACAATCCAGAAAAAAGTAATTTCCATGACAACTTTAGCTGTAAAATCTAACAATCATAAGCAAGTTAATAATCAAACTAAAACCTCAGCCAACCAAGTTAAACAAAGACAGCCTCTTCTCACAGAAGTATATGCTATGTGGAGACTGTCACAAGCAGTCTTTACCTCTGACCCATCATCTTTCACATGGGAGAATCTCAAGAAATGTCACCCAGAGTGTTAGACTTTGTATGAAATTTAGAAAATAGAGCAAGTAGAAAGGACAAAAATAAAGAACAAGGCACCTACTTGTTGAACATGTGGTTATCAACGAGGATTTTACTGTAGGACTTGAAGTCATCGGGCATCAACATCACCCTCAGGTTAACAGAGTTGAGCTCATTGACCTGAAAAATACAGGCTGTAATGAGATAGTGTCAAGTATTAGTTTCATTTACATACAGGATATCAAAATGTGTTGGGGGTGGAGGGGCGCGCTGGTTGTATGTGTGTGCGCGCATGCAGGCGTGCCTGCGTGTGTGTGTGTGTGTGTATGAAAAACGCTCGACAGACACAAGTGGCAATCCTGATTCGTCCTTTTTAGGACAAAATTTTTTGTCATTCGAAGCCCTACTCTGGCTTTTGCCAGGGGCCGCAATATAGGCAGGCCATACATATGGCCAAATGTCTGAACGCGGTTTCTGGGACCTCTCCACGGCGATCCTCATCCGCATGGTGGCACTTTGTGTCATCGGGTGTTTATCGCTTGTGTGATGTCCTGGTGGGGTAGAAAGTCAGTCAGTCACACAAGTGGCAGTTTAAAAAAAAACTAAGGAATGAACTGTCACAGATAGAACAAACATACAATAGGAAAGAAAAAAAACCTTAGCTATAGATAATCATCGCAAGAGAATCAACTTGGACCTGGTACATTTTATTTTCATAAATAAGGAAAGATATAGCGCCGACAACGTCTTGGCGTGTCTAACTCCTGCATGGCTGTCAACACGGCGTTATATCAACTTGCACAAGCGAGGATAGAAAAGAGGTGGAGGGAAAAAAAAAAACTAAAACAACTGATCTGCTTGTTTTTTTTTTTTTTTAAAGGTTTCTTTCTTGTCTTTCAAATGCAACTGTGGGAAATTCAGAAGCTGTGAGCCTGTCAAGACACACACAAAGCGATGTGGGTAAACTTCAGTGAAGAATATATTGATTTCTGCCGCAGTATTGATCCAAAGTACAGCGATGGGCATTAACATTCTCTTGCTTTAGACTTAATGAGATAAGACAAGACTAGACACAGCCAATAACATAAAATGAGGGTGATACAAATGAAGTATTTTTCTTCCCCATTCACAGGCGTGTAGCTTAGAGCAACAGAACATTTCTACATCTGAAGATGTTTGCCACGTCGGGCTGGAAGAAGGGGGTCAATGCCGTCGTGTAGCAAACAAACGCTCTATGTACCTACCCACCCATTCATCTATCTATCTATCTATCTATCTATCTATCTATCTATCTATCTATCTATCTATCTATCTATCTATCTATCTATCTATCTATCTATCTATCTATCTATCTATCTATCTATCTATCTATCTATCTATCTATCTATCTATCTATCTATCTATCTATCTATCTATCTATCTATCTATCTATCTATCTATCTATCTATCTATCTATCTATCTATCTATCTATCTATCTATCTATCTATCTATCTATCTATCTATCTATCTATCTATCTATCTATCTATCTATCTATCTATCTATCTATCTATCTATCTATCTATCTATCTATCTATCTATCTATCTATCTATCTATCTATCTATCTATCTATCTATCTATCTATCTATCTATCTATCTATCTATCTATCTATCTATCTATCTATCTATCTATCTATCTATCTATCTATCTATCTATCTATCTATCTATCTATCTATCTATCTATCTATCTATCTATCTATCTATCTATCTATCTATCTATCTATCTATCTATCTATCTATCCACTTATGCATCCAGCCCACCTCTATTTAACTAAACCCCCTCCCCTCCTCCGTCTATTGTGTGTGTACAAGCGCGACTGGTGATTAGTCGCCTGCATACGTTGTGTTGCAGCTTTGAAACGGGTAGCTAATTCTTTTTCTATCCTCAAAATATGCCCGGAGTGCATATCTACGACTGAGTCTGTAGGGCTTCAGCTGAAAGAAAAGACGATATTACTTAGCCACCAGGACACAATTCTCCTCCAGCTGTAGTTGGCTCCCACCCACCATGAATGTCTCTGCTAACAAAAGCGAGCCTTCAGAGAATGGCCTGGCTTAGAAGGCGTTCATGCTTAGCAAGATGTTTTACACAATTTGTGTGCTGGGTAGTGCAAAAGCGCCTTATTTTTACACAATGTGTATGCTGGGTAGTGCAAAAGCGCCTTAGTTGTACACAATTTGTATGCTGGGTAGTGCAAAAGCGCCATAGTTTTACACAATCTGGTGCTGGGTAGTGCAAAAGCGCCTTAGTTTTACACAATTTGTGTGCTGGGTAGTGCAAAAGCGCCTTATTTTTACACAATTTGTATGCTGGGTAGTGCAAAAGCACCTTATTTTTTACCCAATTTGGTGCTGGGCAGTGCAAAAGCGCCTTACTTTTACAACATTTGTGTGCTGGGTAGTGCAAAAGCGCCATATTTTTACACAATTTAGTGCTGGGTAGTGCAAAAGCGCCTTATTTTTACACAATTTAGTGCTGGGTAGTGCAAAAGCGCCTTATTTTTTACACAATTTGTATGCTGGGTAGTGCAAAAGCGCATTATTTTTACACAATGTGTATGCTGGGTAGTGCAAAAGCGCCTTATTTTTTACCCAATTTGGTGCTGGGTTGTGCAAAAGCGCCTTACTTTTACAACATTTGTGTGCTGGGTAGTGCAAAAGCGCCTTATTTTTACACAATCTGATGTTGGGTAGTGCAAAAGCGCCTCACTAGATATACACTGGAATTAAACTTTCCTGCATGTAACTGTAGCAATTTTGTACGCCATTTAAACGGCTCAAATATAGGCCTTCCGGCCTGTAAAGTGGTCGGGACAGGCTAATACAGGAAGGTTGATTCCTGGCAGACGTCACTGCGGGAAATAATGGAAGGCGTGGTGCTTAGGGGGAAACTTTAAAATACTAAGCACTCAGGCACCTGCAAACAGTTTACATATATCACTGAAGACTCGAGACCAGTTGTAAAGAATCGCTATACAGCCTGATAGGCTCCCGTCGAACACAGTTGTGCTGACGACGAGGAAAAAAAAATAAGTGCTCATGCGTTTAGCTCTGTGTTCCGTGACTGTAGTTAAGCAGTACACAAAATATCACCGTCCTGTCAAATGAAAGCGACTTCAAGCCAACTGTTTTAGCAGTGCAAAGAGGTGCTGTAATACTGCTTCTCCTCGATGCCGTCTTCCTGATTTTTGTGTGTGGAAAATATGGTTTTATGATTTAAAGGAAGTAACACAGCCGCCCGTGTGTTACCGATACCGCAAAGCTAAGAAAAGAACTTAATTTTACCGCCCTCTACTTAACTTTCGTGTCCACTGCTGCTGTATGTTGGCCCTTGCCGCTAACGGCACCTGGGCTCTAACCGCCCCCCTCCCCTCCCTAGCCCCTCAAAACTGACCGAATAAGCTACTATCCCCTGCGATTGTAGCGCCGACAGTCTCAAACACTGGTCTAACCAATTATGTAACCCTGAGTACCAGGATAGATTTGCCATCAACTGTATATGGTTCGAAACAGTCACAGATATAAGACATACAAATCGCAAGCCTCGTATATCCACTGATCCTCTATTTCTTCCCTGTTTTTCATTTGAATGGTAATCAATACATCTAAATTTACTGTTAATGCTAGCTCAATATCCCCAAGAGCCACCTCCAGCGGCTGTGTATCTGTAGAAATAAAAATACTATTGTACTACTATTGCTAGCCAGGGTTATTTTTCAAGTATATCATCTCCCAGGGCGACCTAACTACAAAGCTTCACACGAGTGCATTCCCAGCTCACATCGGAAGTAGCACAAGATGATTCTACTGAAATGTCCCAACAGCACGAGGAAAGCGCAAAGCGCCTTGGAACAATTGACGTGTAACCATTTTTCTCTCTCTCTAGAAGCACTTAAGGAAGTCGTGCAGACACTGTCATCTTCGACAGTAACCAGGCTTGTGGTGGCAGACAATGCATGAGGTAATTCTCAAGAGCCTAAACTAAGAACATATAGTGGGAGTTCCTGTATACCTCCCCAATGTGAAGTCTGTTAACACACACATATCAATCGTTGGGGAAGTGTTAGGATCACCGACAATAACAGCCTGATGAGAGAACAAATTGCAGTGGACCAAGAGGTGAAGAAAAGACGCTGACGCTGGATAGGACACACGCTGGGAAAACTTGAGAACGGTATGTTTTTTTTTTAAATGTCGCCAGAAGAGTAGATAAATAGGTCAGGGGTGGACAAGAAACATGTCATATATATGTGTGAAAAAAGAAGATAGTGGGAAGAGGATAAGAAAGAGGAAATTACAAAAAAATAAATTAAGCAGCAGCAGCAGCAGTAGTAGTAGTAGTAGTAGTAGTAGTAGTAGTAGTAGTAGTAGTAGTAGTAGTAGTAGTAGTAGTAGTAGTAGTAGTAGTAGTAGTAGGAGGAGGAGGAGGAGGAGAAGGAGGAGTAGAAGAAGAAGAAGAAGAAGAAGAAGAAGAAGAAGAAGAAGAAGAAGAAGAAGAAGAAGAAGAAGAAGAAGAAGAAGAAGAAGAAGAAGAAGAAGAGAAAGAAAAAATAGCAGCACGTATTGCTGACTATTCCTACTGTTTTATTGTGTCATTTATGTGTCTGAATGAAATTCAGTGGCTAGCAAGAACTAGTTATGTCAACAGTGAAACGTAGGACAGTGTTCTCATTTTTGCGTATTGTCTCATCCTTGATTCGCATAGGTACTTATTGCCCGGGAAACAAATGCCATAAATGGAGGACAATCAGTTTTCTTCAACCAATATGCTCTGTACAGAACGTTGCCCTTTTTCATTTTCTTAAAGCCCATGCCGTGTGGCGTTAGCAGGTATGTATACTGTGCACACACAAAAAAAAAGAAACGCGTAGAAGACCTTTTAATCCAGGTCAGCAATTATGTGGAGAGAGACCCAGCCATATAAGTTACGAGGAAGTGTAGGAACACAACCATAATTAGTTCGTGAGAGCAAGAATCAAAACTTATATCCCCATGGACAGCGAAGAGGTCAAAGAGCAGGTGAAAAGGAAGAACCATCTGTTTGTATGGCCGTCTTTATAATTGTCTTCCTTACACGAAGTTCGTAAATATTAAGAAATTTGTTCATTTGGTATACTTTAGCAGCTGAGTTTTAAAAACC